ATTTATTACAACGCTTCGGCCTTTCAGTATCTGTCTATATTTCTGCGATGAGGTATTATGTACACTATTTACATTATTCGGACTATTGTCCTCATCTTTGTTGCCATATTTATCACAACGTTTCGGCCGTTATACGCTCTGACGTACTTCAGGTGGTTGTATGTCGAACTGAACCCTTTATTTCATTCGCTGGGGTAGACTGTTCTAGTTCCATGAGCCATGTCTAATGGGTGTCAGTTATCAGTTATCTCCTGTTAATTCACCTCTTCAAGTTCTCCACTGCCTTAACCAGGTATTGAACTCACAACTCTTTGGGTTCTGTCACTGGATCTAACCAACGCCTTTATCCACAGTGCTATGTGTTCTTAAGGAAATAGTGTACATAATACCTCATCTCAGAAATATAGACAGATAAATAATTGTAATTTTGAAAGCTACCATGGTTTAAAAGTTTCTATTTTCCGAACTGGGAGATATGTGATGAGTTTGCTGTCTTCAAAAACGTGATTATTTCTAAATATTCAAATGTTCTTATTCTCTCATGCATGGAACGTATTTGAAATTTGAAATCTACGATTAGATTACACTGCTATGAGAAATCTTCAAAGGGCCGACACTGTTTGCTCTTATACAGGTATTCTGGTGCTGTGTACCTACCACGGTGAACGCAAATTGTAAAATTTTGGATAGTCAGCATATAGCCCCAAACTCACCGCCGTGGGTGTTGAAATTCCCGATAAGGTGACACTCGCAAGCATTAACGGTTCAACACAAAAGGAAAAAAAATGCCGCTAAAACATCTATAATAAATATTTCTTCATGTCCATTGAAAGTGCTCGACAGCTCACATAAACACCCAAGCACCTGCTAAAATAGTTCATAAATAAACTTTATAAATTAACCCACTATGGGGTGAAAAAAAAAACCTTAGAAGAGAAAAGAGTCTTTTCTAACCACAAGCCACAATTATAAGTTTCATGGCTGCCGTCACGTAGCCGACGTCATTACAAAATAATATTATAATATATACAGGGTGACCCCCAAAAAACGGGAATTTTTGAAGTGCGTATTGCCAGATATGAGCAAGTGACAACACTGCGAGACAGTGACCTTGAGCAAGTAAACATTTCGCCATTTAGAATTCATGATGAAATTCATAGTATCCCAGCTGAAATGTTGCAGCAGTCAATGAGGAATCTCAATAGCAGATTTCAAAAATACATTCGTACAGGAGAATGCCATTGACAGGACGTAATTTTTAAAAAAATGAAATTTCCATCATTGTTTCTTAAATGGCATGTTTTAAGGTTTCAATTACTATGAATAAATTATTTTTCTTCCATCACTCTTGGTTTTATTGGATTGTTAAAAGTTCCCATTTTTTGGGGTCACCCTATACATATATATATATATATACAAGGTAGCAATAAAGTCACTATCCAGTTACTTACAATAAGAATTAAGACAAAACAAAATTAAGTACAGAAAATTATTATTAAAATGGTTGTGGTTAATTCTGGTTCATAACAATAAAATGTTATGCTAAATAATAGTAAATTAATTACCGATACTGTTCGTACTGCAAGCCACCTACTTTAACGCTTCGCTTTTTTATTATAAGTAACTGTATAATGACTTTAAGTGCCAACCTCAATATATATTTTTATATCGAAACACAATTTTTAATTGTCATACATACATAATGGCCGCCTACTCTCGTTTTCCAAACATAGTCGTCTATTAGGGAGGCTAGCCAATCACTGTCGCACACGCCTGCTCAGTTTCATGTGTTTGTTTAACATTCATAGAGTTCACCTGCGGTTTATACGGTCATTATGCTGAGAGGCCATTAGTTACCGTTTCTCGGAGAAAGGTTATAATCTTTAACGATCAGCAGTTTGAACAAGACGAGTACACTTAAAACCTCGATCACGATGACTTGTGCCTTCTTGCTAACACAACAACTAGCGTTTTGTAAACAGTTCCGTCTCCCTAATTTCAATAACAACACTTGAGCAAATACCTTCTTAAGGTTTTTAGGCACTTACCTATGTTGCTGCATGCTGTGATTGTGCATATATCTACATCTATCAGGTCATCCCATAAGTTCTGTCCGAAATGTACCTTTTTTTTTTTAAAATGAACGAAATTTAAAGAGTATTTTATAATGTCTAATGGCGACGAAAAATGGATCTTTTATCGAAATGTTAAGCGTTGTAGACAGTGGCTTGGTAAAGGGGAAGGACCCCAGCCACAGCCGAAAAGGGAACTTTATGGGCAAAAAGTTCTTCTTTCAATCTGGTGGAATCGCCAAGGAATAATCCATTTTGAATTCTTACCACCTGATGCAACAATTAATGCTCAAATATACTGTCAGCAATTAGAGCGTTCGAACCAAGCTTTGAGAAAAAAAAACCTGCTCTAGTGAATCGAAAAGGGGTGATTTTTCATCAGGACAATGCGCGACCCCACACAGCAATAATCACGTCACAAAAAATTGAAGAACTTGGTTGGGAGAAAATTCCTCATAAACCTTATTCTCCCGATCTTGCTCATTCAGACTACCATTTTTTTCGTAGCTTACAGAATCATTTTGAAGAAACGGCTTTTGTAACACAGGAAGAGGTTAAAACTGACATTTGTGAGTTCTTCGAATCAAAACCAAAAGAATTTTACAGTAATGGAATTAGTAAGATTGTTAATAGATGGAAAGAAGTCATAGATAATCAAGGAAAATACATTGTTGATTGAATCTGTAATTAAATGTAACATTTGGTCACTTGTTTTCTTTATTCAAAATTCGGACAGAACTTATGGGATGACCTGATATATCTAGTGCGTGTATTTAGGCAGCATTTTTTTTTTATTGATGCATGTTTCATTAAATAATATAGACAAGTGCTGTCTATTTATTTTATGTAAATTCTTTTCATATCTTCTGATGAGCTTCAAACAGAAGCAAAATATCATCACTGTTTTGTCCGTGTATTGCTTAATATATTGTCATCTTTGATAATGGCTTTCTTCGTTTAATGATAATGTTATTAAACTTATCAGACGATATGAAAAGAATTGACATAAAATAAATAGACAACACTTGTCAATATTATTTAATGAAATATGCATCTATCTATCTATCTCTATCTATCTATCTATCTATCTATCTCTCTCTCTCTCTCTCTCTCTCTATATATATATATATATATATATATATATATATATATATAATTTAAAAATCAGGAGGTCGGTTGAATCAGCTACTTTTGTTTTAACCACATGATATCCTAAAAACAAAAACAAAAAAAAAAACAGCTATCCGTTGTTAAGGTGGAAAATTAAAGAAAAAAATACAGTACAAAAATCGCAATGATATTTGAAATCTCTGCCAACCGGAAGACTTAGCGATTATGACATTTCCGGATCCCAAAAACCTTTTAAACCAGAAATCCGAAGTCTCAAGTCCATGTTTACATATCAGAAAATTTTTCTTAACTGCATATGAGGCTGGATTAAAAAAGGAAGTAAACCAACCACTCACCAATACAAAAGATGAAACGATCTTTTGGAAGTGTTATCTGATGATCCGGCGTCATTTAAAAGGGCTCTGGTGAAATAAATTATTATAATGGAACCTTAACTTGGTCTGTTTTTTTTCAAAATATTCGCTCTGGATTTACATTGAGCTCTCAGGATTTCATCCGCCTTGGGATTACCCATACGGATTACCAAATTTTTTCATAACTTATACTATATATATATATATATATATATATATATATATATATATATATATATATATATATATATATATAAGTATATATATGAAAAAGTGAATATAAATATAAATAAATATATATATATGTATAATTATTTATATATTATATGCGCGGTACTTATTAGAAAGCGCTCAATATCAGAGATAGAGCTAACATATTTGTTTGTCTGACGATCGCTAAAGCGTGAAACCCAGGGTCACAAACTCACATCTATCCAACCAAATATATAAGTATATATATATATATAGGTAGTATATCATCATTCAAGCAAGTTTCACTGAATAATATAGATATATTATGTCTATTCATTTAATAATAACACTTTCTGGTTCACTAGTTGATTTATTGATGTTAAAATCCAACAAGGAAGCAACGGTATATTTTGTTAACTAAGTACTTCCGATCTCCTCCGAAACCAGGATTGAATTGCGAAGAAAAACTTAATGTAACTGGAATCGTTGTGATGGTGAATTTTGTAAACACGCGTGTAATCATTTCAAAATTAACCACTGCGGTTCACAAGTCAAGATGGTGTTAAATGTTAGTCAACTCAGATGTATTTTAAAACATTGCTACTATACTCATAATAAATTTGTTCAGTCTTAGTTCGTTGGTTTTGAGATATATATATATATATATATATATATATATATATATATATATACGCACACACAGGGGCAGCAGAAGTACCGCGCACCTAATGCTAAAAAAATTAGCTAGATGAAGGCAGTTTGTTTTCGAAATTTGTTCTTCCTTGTTGTTTTGTCTTTTCTTTTGCTTCAAAGATTTTCCGATAATAAAACAAATGCCGCCATTTTCATTTGCTATATTAGATGTATTTTTTTTTTTTTGCCATTTGCCATTTGCCGCCAATTCTAATACAAAAAAAAAGGAATGTTTACCTTGTAGTTCTTCATTCGCCATCCTTCCATCGTGTGTTCATTTTCATTCATAAACTTTCGTATTTGTTTAGGCTTTTCCAGCAAAATAGCATTTCTCGTTTTCCCCACCCGGCCGATTTTCTCTCGTTTTTGGTTTACCATAAACACTCGCTTTAGAAAAAATTCTTCTCTCTTTCGTTTCTCTTTTTCGCTTACTTAACATTTTGATGCAGTTTATCGTAATGGCTTTCTTTCTAATCAGTTTTCGGACATTTTTTTTTAATTTACATTTTCTTTATTTTCACACTTTTATTCTTTCCTTTTGGATTTTCATTCCCTTCAGTTTTCTTCTCATTTTTTCGATAACTCTACTTTCTTCTTCTTCGTCTTCTTTTTCTTCTTCTTCTTCTTGTATTTCTTCTTCTTTTATTCTTCTTCCCCTCCTCTTTCACCTTCTTTTACCTTTTCTTATTTTCTTCCCCTCCTCCTACTACTTCTTCTTTTTCTTCTTTTTCTTTTTCTTCCTCTTTTTCTTTTTTCTTCTTCTTTTTCTTTTCTTCTTCTTTTACTTATTCTTTTTCTTCTTGTATTTTGTTCCTCTTTTATTCATCTTTCCCTCCTGTTCCACCTTGTTTTTCCTTTTTTCCTCCCCTCCTCCTCTTTTTTCTTTTTCTTTTTCTTCATCTTTTTCTTCTTCTTCTCTTTCTTCTTCTTCTTTTTCTTCTTCTTCTTTTTTTCTTCCTATTTTTCTTTCTTCTTTTTTCTTTTCGTTCTTTTTCTTCTTTTTTATCTTCTTTTTCTTCTTCCCTTGCTACTACAGCTAGGTTTTCTCTTCTTTATACTTCCCCTCTCTATAATGACCTTTTACTTTATCCCTTTTCATGACACTTTCGGTTCCGCCTCCTCTTAATCGAAGCCATTCTCGATTTCTTCTTTTCCCTTCGCTTTAATAATCTTTGTCGTTCGTCATTTTCTAAATATACTTTTGTATTCGGGTCATTATTCGCAATTCATTATTTTCTTGTATTATCTTTCTACTTCTCTACTTTCATCGTCATCGCCCTTCTTCTTCTTTTTCTTTCCTTCGATTCTTGGAAACGTTGCCGCTCTTCTTTCTTCTCCCTTTTTATCGTCATTGTCTTCTTCTATTTATTCATTCGCTCTTCTTATTCCCTTCATTTTGTTTTTCTTCCTCTCTTTTGCTAATTTTCGTCTTTTTAACTTCTTTTCATACTTCGTCACTTCAATTCTGCTTTTGTTACTTGCCATTTCCATTCATTATTATTATTATTATTATTATTATTATTATTATTATTATGAGAGGCTGCAGAAAAGTTGTCTGCCCAACTACAAATGACAACCCATCAGAAATTAGTTTTTATTTTGACTTTTTGAAGTTTTTTTTAGATTAGGCCTTGAACATTATAGTTTTTCCCGGAATCATCATCTTCTTCTTCTTCTTCTTCTTCTTCTTCTTCTTCTTCTTCGCATCGACTTGTTCATGCATTTAATTTTGTTTTTATAGCAAAAATTCCATTTTATATTGCGCTGCATTCGCTTCTTCAACAACGTTAACTTCTTAAGGATAATATTTTCTCTTTTTTTAATTTTCTTTTTCTTCTTCTTTTTCTTCTTCTTCATCATCATCGTCATCATTATCATCATGATCATCTTCTTCTTATTCTTAATCTTACTATTATTATTATTATTATTATTATTATTATTATTATTATACATCCAGCACCATATTCTCCTATTCATCATATTCGTCAAGCTTGTTTTCTTTTTTTAAGCATTTCACCCCAAGCAAGGCGAGAATGTCACTAACACGCAAGGGGGGGGAGGCTACTGAGAGGGAAAGAGAATGAGAACACAATAGAAAGAATCATAAACCTAATCGTAAGCAGGAAACAACGGATAAATGTTTTTCCTTCTTCTTCTTCTTCTTCTTCTTCTTCTTATTATTATTATTATTATTATTATTATCCTTATTATTTGCTATTCATTATTATCATACAGTGTAACCCGGATATAAGAGAGTTGTCGGTACCGGAGAAGAAGTCTCTTATATCCGGGTTTCTCATATATCCGGGTTTGGTCTATTCTATATACATTAACACAGGCTCTAATTTGGGACCAGATAAAATCTCTCTTATATCCGGGTTTCTCTTATATCCGGGTCTCTTATATCCGGGTTAAACTGTATTTACTTCTTCAACGTCTTCTTCATGCTCGTCTTTTTCTACTTCCTCTTCAGACACTTCTTTTTCTCTTTTTCTCTTTCTTCTTTTTCTCTTTCTTCTTTTATTTTCCTTCTTTTTCTTCTTCTTTTTTCTTTTTCCTTTTCTTCTTCATTTCTTTCTTTTTCTTTTTCTTGTTTCCCTTTTTTTTTCTTTTTCTTCTTGTTTTTCTTCTTTAGTCTTACCGTCATCTTTTTCTTCCTCATTCCCGCTTTAATATACGCGTCTGTCTGTAGTGCGTGGCAAAGACATTCTTGTTTTCTTCACGAGACAATGTCGATTGATCGGCTGTATTTTCTGCTGGCCTGGGTCCAATCTGTTCAAATTAAGCAAAGTGCCCACAACCAAAACAAATGGCGACTCTTACTTATTCCACGAGAATGCAATCTGACGAAAGAAATATTTTGACAATGTTACGTGTGACCTTCGAATCTCTGCGTCCCGTGTCTATCAATTGAATTTATGGTAAATGCTTGTAGCGACCTCAGCCGAACTCATTTAAGCCTTTTCTACGCTCTCTTTCTTCTCTTCATCCTTCCTCACCATCTATCCCCTGTCTATATCTCTCACCGTTTCTCTCTCTTTCTGAGTTCAATGTACATACAGAAATTATTCACATGGAGATATAAGGCCATTACTGAACTTACTTAAACAGAAAACCGACCTTACTAATAACAGCAACCCACACACATCTGGTCATACGTGTACGCACATATATTCGGATATACACATATTTTTCTGACAATAATCACAAGGAATACAGTTGCATGCATACCCACTTGTAAGAGTTTATTGGCCTTTGCATATATTTAAGTGTGTCTACGTAACAAACACGTACAGTCAAAGCTTTAATTAATGAACAACTAAATAGTGACTATTCACAATACTAAAATATATCATGTTGCATCTTTACTTTCATATGATTTATTTACGTATATATTCGGGAAATCTATGAGAAACTGGTAAAAGTGTAACATGTTTCGACCGTAAACAGGACTTCATCAGACTAAGTAATGTTCAAATTAATAGAATTCTCTCTCTCTCTCTCTCTCTCTCTCTCTCTATATATATATATATATATATATATATATATATATATATATATATATATTAATGCATGTTTCATTGAATAATATAGACACGTTTTGTCTATTGATTTTAAGTAAGGTCCTTTCATATTGTCTGATAAGCTTAATCGCATTATCGTATATACGAGTTTGTCGTTACTTGGAATTTTTCATGCAGCAAGGGCGGACTATCATTGCTGTTTCGTCCGTGTGTTGTTTGATTTATTGAAATTGTCATCTTTGATAATGGCTTGTGTAAGCCGAAAATTAGATTGGATTTAAACATGTATGAATATGGTGTTTTTCTTTCGTCTTTCAACGATAATGTAATTATGCTTATCAGACAATATGAAAGGTACTTACTTAAAATAAATAGACAAAACTTGTCTATATTATTTAATGAAACATGCATTAATGAAAAAAGTGCTGCCTATATATATATATATATATATATATATATATATATATATATTGTTGACAACACTAATATAATAGCATCATCTACATGCAAAAAAAAGACTAAAAATAATGGAAGCCTTATTAATAAAAACAAACAAACAAACTTAATATTAACTTTGAACATGGACATAATATCTCGACCGTGTTTTAAGAAATGAAAACATTTCTTAAAACATACATACAACAAATTATTTCTTATTTTAACAGTTAAAATATAATACCTGAAAATGGCTAAATGTATAGCCGAAATCGCTGGGAGAAAAAGAACATTGGGACAGTTTTGATTTATCATCCCCCGCCAAAAAAAAAAAATAATAGATCGCATGAGAAACTGCATAAAAAAAATAAATAAAAGCACCTTGTCTGACGTTTTTAATGAAATGTGCATGAAAGATGGATTGCTGCCTAAATACACACACACACACACACACACACACACACATATATATATATATATATATATATATTGAGGGTCGAAGTATAAGCAAAAAACCTTGGTAACAATTAAACATTCTGGGGAAACGTTGAAGTTGGAGTGAGGCTGCATCATTTTTAATTTGTCATTCAATTACATCAAGTTTTTCAAATATATAGAAATGTATATATAATGTTTATTGTACCTATATATATATATATATATATATATATATATATATATATACATATATATATATATATATATGTTCATATGTAGAGACGTATGAACATATGGAGAGACCAATAGACTCTTGCAAGTAGGTATGCATGCAGTTGTATGGCAAGCGTTTACTATCACAAAAAGAGATGTGTATATCCAAATATATGTCCATATATGTTATTACGTTATAATAACAACAAATATGATGACGATAGTCTAAATATAAATATAGTTTAAATAATGATAACGCCTCATCCCAGAAATTAAGACAGAAGACTATTGGATGATAATAACAACAAGGATAAGGAGAATAGTCCGAATATAAATAGTTTAAATAATGATAAAGCCTCATCACAGAAATTAAGACAGAAGATGATTGGGTGATAATAACAACAAAGATGAGGACAATAGTTCGAATATAAATAGTGTAAATAATAACGCCTCATCCTAGAAAAGCTTGTTCGAAAATTGAAAAAAAAAAAACACACACACACACACACTCACAACAATGTCGGTTATTTTTAAACACATTTTTTGTATAAATTTTTTTTTCATCATTTCACTCTGGGCAAGGAAATTAAATGAGAAAACTATTAAATCATTAAAAGAATAAAAAATAAGAAGATAAGAATTGACATTGGATTTAAATTGTTGAAGATTAAAGTTGTCTTTTGAAGATCAAAGGGAATAAAACAAACGACAGGTGCGATAGAAGAAACTGTTAGATTTGTACTTACGGATAATTCCAGCCATTTTAACTGCAAAAAGATGAATCTTTCCCGCCAATGTAGTAATTCACTGAAAAAAAAAAGTATCAAACAGAAAATGTTACTCATAATCTCTCGATCAAACGTAAGGAACAAAGCAAATAAATAATAAATAATAATAACTTTTTTCCATTTTATTTGCCATTTTATACGCTTTTTGTGGGGAGGGAACTTCGTATTTTGGTTTAGTCGTTTATTTATAATTAAAATCTATTTTAATCGTATTCCAATTGCGCCTCTTCATTCGTTATTTACTGATGTGTTTTTGATTATTTCCTGCTGCTCGCCAACGTTCACCTTTTAAGAAAGTGTTGACCGAAAGGGTCGCTCAAGGTAAAATAATGGAGTCCATTCTATTTAAATCTATTTTCTTCTTCTTTTGGTACAAATCTTTGTATATATATATATATTAGGTTGGTGCAAAAATAATGTCGTTTTCTCACATATGTTACTTTTATATATGATTTCTGAATTAATTCATTGATATATATATAGCCATGTTATATATAATTTTGAAGCGCGTTTTTCGCTCTATCGAATCGTGTTATTCGTTACCATTATCAATCTCTTCATTCATTTTTTTGCAGGCCTTTCGACAGTATGGACAAAATTCAAATCCGCATGATTTTCTTGTTCCAGTTCAAACTAGGCCGAAAAGCTGCCGAGACAGCTCGTGATATCAATGATGCGTTTTTTTTCATGTTGAATTGTATATGGTCTATGTTAATTATGTTTTATGAATATGTCCTGAAGATGGTCTATTAGACCGAAACGTCCGACGTTGACATTAAACATTAAAACAGCATAATCGCATATTAGGATTTTTGTTTGTTTTTTTCCGTATATTTTTTATTATATATATATATATATATATATATATATATATATATATATATATATATATATATATAAATAAAAACAGACCACTTTTTAAGGTTCCATGTAATAAATTATTTCACCACAGCCCTTTTCAAGGGCTCTGGATCATCAGACTTTGCTTCCAAAGGTTTTTATTCAAATTTATTTGCTCTGAATTTACATTGAGCTCTCTGGATATCATCCTCCTCGAGTCTACTCATACGGATTATCTAGTTTTGCATAAACCATATATATATATATATATATATATATATATATATATATATATATATATATATATATATAAGTCAAGTCAACACCTGTAGCAATAGTATTGTCGCCTCTGGGCGCTGACTTCAATATCCACTTTTATATTTACATACGCTCTTTTTTTTTATATTGAGCACTTTAACCCAAAAATATAGCATACCTTAAAACTGTATTTTATTATATATATATATATATATATATGTAATGTGTGTATATATGTATGTAAGTATATATATATATATATATATATATACACACAGAAGTCAACACCCAGAAGCAATAGTATTGTCGCCTCTGGGCGCTGACTTCAATATCCACTTTTATATTTACATACGCTCTTTTTTTTATATTGAGAACTTTAACCCAAAATATAGCATACCTTAAAACTGTATTTTATTATATATATATATATATATATGTAATGTGTGTGTATATATGTATGTAAGTATATATATATATATATATATATATATATATATATATATGTGTGTGTGTGTGTGTGTGTGTGTGTGTGTGTGTGTGTTTATGTGTGTGTTTTGTTTACGTATGTATATAATTATATATTTGGGCAACAATTCTTCTTTTATGCAAGTTTCATTAAAGATGACTAAAAAGGTACTGAGATTAAGCTTTTCATTCAATTGTTCATGCGTTCGTATAAGTGATTTATGTTCTGGACATACAGTCTGTAAAAAACTGTTCAAATGTTCTATATATCCAAGCCCTTTAGGCTCTGCTCTTAGCCATTATCAAGGATGAATTTCATTTTTATTTGTAATTGAATGTATACATTGTTTTATGAATGTATATAGTTATAGGAATGTTTTATTTTCCAAACACGGCCAGCATGTTATGGTCGTGTTCATAATTGATATTATCGAGTGTTGGCTTTTTTTTTTTTATTTTATTAATAACTATTAGTAGAGCCCGGGGTTGCCCGGGGATGTAACACTAAGAGATAGATCAAGTATCGACCATCATAAAGACTGAAAAATAAAATTGACAAAGCTTATTGTTTAAGGTTGACGGACACGCATGTCTTAATTAGTTTTTTTTTTTTGTTTTTTGGGGTTTTTTTACGAATTGGTCAAACCCAAACTCAAACAAATACATTGTTATGA